AAGTGGTTATATTCACAGATGCGCTTTCAGTGCTTCAAGCCCTCAAGAGTGGCAAACTCCCTCACTTGAGATCTAAACTTGGCAAGGTGGCTGCCCAAAAGTGTACTGTACTCCAGTGGGTGCCATCCCACTGTGGTATACCAGGAAACGAAACCGCAGATAAACTTGCTAAAAAAGGGGCAGAATGTGACCAAGAAGAGAATGCAGTAACATACTATGAGAAGAAAAAGGGCCATCCAGGCTATCAGAAGTGAACAGAGTCTGGCCAGAGATGACTACCACTTACTTGACCGGCATGGGCAGGTCATTGTCCTACGTCTCAGGACAGGACATAACAAACTTAACCAGCATATGCACAGGCTTCGTCTAAGTAGTTCACCTTTTTGCCCTTGTGGGCTATGTGTGCAGACTACAGAACATGTCCTGCAAGACTGTCCCTTGTTCAGCCCATTAAGAAAGGAATACTGGCCCAGTGAGTCACCACTGTACACAAAGTTGTATGGGACTAAAAATGAACTCATTAAAACAGTCAAGTTTATCACAAGAACCTGTCTGTCGGTGTAAATCAGAAAGCGAACACAAGAAGAAGAAGAAGAAGAAGAAGAAGAAGAAGTAGTAGTAGTAGTAGTAGTAGTAGTAGTAGTAGTAGTAGTAGTAGTAGTAGTAGTAGTAGTAGTAGTAGTAGTAGTAGTAGTAGTAGTAGTAGTAGTTGTTGTTGTTGTTGTTGTTGCTGTTGTTATTGTTGTTTTGTTGTTGTTGTTTTTGTTGTTGTTTTTATTGTTATTGTTGTAGTACTTGCATAAGCAGCAACAACAGGAGTAGTAATAGTAGCAGCGGTACGAGTTAAAGAGGAGGAGTCAGAAGAAGAAGAAGAAGAAGAAGAAGAAGAAGAAGAAGAAGAAGAAGAAGAAGAAGAAGAAGAAGAAGAAGAAGCAATAGCAGTAGTAGCAGCAGCAAAAGCATCAACAGTAGCAGCAAACAGTAGTAGTAGTAGTAGTAGTAGTAGTAGTAGTAGTAGTAGTAGTAGTAGTAGTAGTAGTAGTAGTAGTAGTAGTAGTAGTAGTAGTAGTAGTAGTAGTAGAGGCAGTAGTAGTAATAATAGTAGTAATAGTAGTAGCAGCAGCAGAAGAAGTTTTAGTAGTATCAGTATATCAGTATTACCTTGTTTTCTTTTCCCTCTGGTATGATGAGATCATAGCTGCAAGCTATACATTCATAACCTAGTCATCGTCGCCCGATCTGGCTGTTATTTGCCCACCTCTCTTGCTTGAACATTTAGTATGAACCATGGATTTTCGAGTCCGTTCTTGAATGTTATCTGTGAAATGCAAGTTTTTTCCCTCACGTTTTTGCTCCCACTTTCCTGGAAAATAAAACATGTATTTTTGATTTCTTTTTGTGAAATAGATAGCTTTGATATGATTTTTTGTTTTCCATTTCCATATTTAGTTAAAAAAGAAACCGAGACATTGCAGTGGCTGGCTCTCGACACCATTGTCGAAACCAATGCAGAGTGGTCTGCTGCCAAAAAACCTGCAGCTGGAATAAATTTGGGTATTTCGAAATTACCAAGTGCGTTCTCAACGCCTAAGCTACAGACATAGACATATTGTGTAAGGCAGCAAATCTTTCTAGAACTAAACGAGTTAATAATGAAAGATCATCATCATCAGGGTCATCAAAATCGTCATCTTCATCATCATCGTAATCATCGTTATCGTTATCATCATCATCGTCACCGTCATCATCTTCATTTTCATAATCATCATCATCATTATCACCATCGTCATCATCTTCGTCACCATCATCATCGTCATCATTATCATCATCATCATCGTCATCATTATCATCATCATCATCATCGTCATCATCATCACCATCATCATCGTCATCATCCTCGTCTTCTTCTTCTTCTTTCGTTCGCCTGAAATAAGTTGTCTATATCAGCAGTTTTGTCTCTTGTATAAATTTCACTGTCGTTGTTAGTTCATTCAGTGGTCCATAGAGTTTACGTTCCACTGTTGTTCTTTCAGGCCAAAAAGTTTGCCTTAATGTGGCAAAATCGGTGCAGTCCTGGAGTAAATGCTCTTCTGTCTGGGGCACATTTCCACAGATGCACATGGCTGATACACCTATCTTGAATTTTGTGTAAATGTGGTTACGTAATCGTTTGTGCCCTGTTCTGAGGCGGAGGATAATGACTTGTTCTGGTCTGTCCATAATAAAATAGTCGTCTTGTGCTGGGGCTGGTGGTTTCCTGATCAATTTAATGATTCTTTTCTTTTGGTGGTATGTGACTGGTACATACGGCTGCTCTTTTGTCGCACCTTTCCCTGCCAGTTGATCAGCTTTCTCATTTCCATGCACTCCACAATGAGACGGTATCCACTGCATTACGACTCTTCGCTAAAGGCTGAGTTGTGTCAGCAGTGTTTGCAATTCTGGCAGTTTTCTAGACTAGAGTGCTTCAAGTACTGATTTAGCATCTGTCAGCATTACCACATACTGTGAGCCAAGATTGGTATTTAGCAGTTTGGAAAGCCATGGAAATATCATCCTCATCATCATCGTTATCATCATCGTCATCACCATTATCATCACCATCATTATCATTCATATCATCATTATCATCACCCTCATCAGCATCATCGTCATCATCCTCATCATCATCGTCACCTTCATGGTCATGATCATCATCGGTATCTTCATCATCATTTTTATTCTCATCATTGTCATCTTCATCATCATCATCATCATCGAGCAGCATGACTAGTGACTTGGGTGATCATGTATCTCCATATCTGTTGATCTCAAACAGCTGGTTTAAGTATACTTCACCTGCTGGTCTATTTTGTTGGCATGACAACCACCGGTCAGCCATCTTTGTTGGCATGACAACCACCGGTCAGCCATCTTAGTTGGCATGCCAACCATCGGTCAGCCATCTTTGTTGGCATGACAACCATCGGTCAGCCATCTTCGTTGGCATGCCAACCACCGGTCAGCCATCTTCGTTGTCATGACAACCACCGGTCAGCCATCTTCGTTGTCATGACAACCACCGGTCAGCCATCTTCGTTGGCATGACAACCACCAGTCAGGCATCTTCGTTCGCATGACAACTACCAGTCAGCTATCTTCGTTGGCATGACAACCACCGGTCAGCCGTCTTCCCTACAGTTGCTTTCTCCATTTTCTCTCTATCAATAAATATGACCTTTTATCGGGGTTTTTTTTTGTGGGGGGGGGGGGGAATAAGTTGAGGACGGCTATGTTAAAGATTGTTATATATAAAATTAAAAATGTATTTCCTAACCTGCGAGAAAGGGATGTAGGACAGGATTGCGAGCCCTATCCAAGGTATGTACGGCGTACTATAAAATTGACCCACTGTCTTGAGACAAATATACCATAAAAAGGCGACAGTTTAGAAGCTTGCTGAAATCGGATTTGTTAGATTGAAAGGTGCAAGAACCTAGATGTAAACTACAACACAACGTGATAACTGAAGTTTGAGGGTGAAAGAAGAAGCAAGAAGAAGCCTTCCGTGACATACGTGTCCCATTGACACAATAGATGCTGTGCTGTTCGACGGTTCTTTGAAATTTCCGTAGCCAGATGGGCTCCTCCCCATAAAAAAAGTCTTGTTTCTAGGAAAAGATTTCTTTCAGACATGGTTGAGGCAGTCCTAGATCTGAGTATTGTCTATGAAGTAATGGTTCACCTAACGTACATCGTGTGCGATGTTTAGGCCATGAATGTTTTCATCCTTATAGTTATTGTTCACATTGCATTAATGTGTTCACCTACGACCAGAAAAGCCCGGTATTTTAGATCGATCTATGACATTATAAAAAGTAGATGGTTTACTAAACTTTAAATTTTCAATTCTAATGTCAAATCAGTAAGTACTCTTGTATGGAGCTGAAACATGGAGAACAAGTAAAACATTACTTAAAAAAAAAAAAAAAACCACAAACATTTATTTACTGGTGCCTGCGCAAAAACAGGAAAACTAAAAATATGAAAGAATCACTAATGTAGAACTCTTGGAGAGAACTAAACAAGTTCCAGCGGAAAAAGAAGTGAAGAAAAGACGTTGGCGTTAGGACACACCCTGAGAAAAATTGAGAACAATATAACTAGAATGTTTTTGCACCGGAACCCACTGCGGCATATAAAAAAAAAAAAGGAAGACAACACAAAACACATGGAGAAGGGAGATAGAGAGTAAAGTTAAAAAGATAGGGACGACATGGGGAAAGCTGCATGCGATAGCGAAGAACAGAACAACCTGGCGTGGGTTGGTTGAGGGCCTATGCTTCACTGGGGGCTGGAAAAACAGAAAAGGACGATGGTATACTACCTTCGACCACCAAGATGAAGCAGTATCAGTGTCATCATTGACAAAATCATTATTACAACAACATAACAACTATACTTAATACAGCACTGGACAGTTCAATCAAACCTCCCTAGTATAACCCTTATGTGTCTTCCACAATTTATCACAGAACAACGAATGGTTCACGCATCACTGAACATTCGTCACCGAGCAAAAAATTCTTAGAAATTAACCAAACAGACAAATACAAACACATAGTCCTCGTTTCTTTCGCCCACTCGACATTGATTTATTGCAATTGTTACTCTTGATTTATCTTTGTTTTTCTAAATTCCCTTTCTCTCACCTGTGGCGAACACAATGGAAGCTCGTAATTAGAACGAAGGTTCAGACTTCTGAAGCGAACTATCGACCTTCTCGGCTCAGTCCACTTCTATTGTTGTTCCTTTGTGGAAATGTGGAACTGGGCGTGTGAATAGAACATCGCTCATAAACTAGAGATTTATTGCGATTCCGCCCAGATCTGCTGTGGCAACTTGCGCGGGAGGATATGAACACCCCATAATATTTGTCACGGCTCGGGAACGCCCGTTTATTTCTAGTGTTATTAAATTACAAGTATCGATCTGGTCCGTCAAGTATGGCTTGCTTTCACCTAGGTTATTATAGGCAGTCTCTATAGCTAGGGAGGCTTCTTTATTCGCTGGGTTGTTGTTTTGTTTCACGTCAACACCACAGGCAATCACGTGGATGTACTGTCTGGAATATGTAAGAGTGCAAGGGAAAGAAAGAGCAGATTTTTGGGGCTTCACAAGCGATAGCTGTAAAAAGACTTGCACTGAAAACTAATGAGACATTCTGAAGACTATTTATGAACAAATTCTCATAGAGGACTCGAGGTTAGATGACAAAAACAGGTGTAACAATGTGTGAACGAGGAATTAAGTGGGAATCCGCCAAGGAGGGATGTATGAGAGGAAGATAACAACCATGCCATTAATCAAGTGCTACAGGAACGGAAAGCATCAATACCTTAAAATATTTGCTACGGAAGACGAGTCTTCAAACAGTAGTGATTAATAGTTTGTTTGCATTCGTTACATGGCTAGGTCGTTGGCTGATTCGTTGGTTGGTTGGCTGTAGCGCCGGAACCTAGAGGCTCACGCACAATTTGGGAAGAGCTCACCCCCCCCCCCCATACCCCCTTCTCCACCAACAAATTTAAGGAGCTCCCAGTATCCTAAACTCCTGAATATGCGTCTTTTACTTGTACTTTTTCCCACAAATATGAGGTATTTCAGATGCCACACTGTTAAAGATTTGATGTATTCATGTTGAGCTTTAGGAAAGATCTAAACATGTTCCAGAGGACGAAGAGGTGAAGAAAAGACGCTGGCATTGAAAAAAACACGTTGAGAAACATGACAACATTAAAACTGTATATAGTCTTCGCAATTGAGGTAATGGGGCATATACATAAAAGCAAACACACACACACACAAACACACACACACGCACATACACACACACGCATATACACACACACACGCACATACACACACACGCATATACACACACACGCACATACACACACACACGCATACACACAGACACGCACATATACACACACACACACGCACATACACACACACGCATACACACACACACGCACATACACACACACACGCATATACACACACACACACGCGCGAAGAAGGGAGCTAGAGAGTGAAGTTAAACAAAAAATTTGGCATGAGTTGGTTGAGGGCCTATGCTCCAGTGGGAAATTAGTGGCAGAAGAAGAAGAAGGAAGAAAGTCAAACCACTGCCTGAGAAAAGAAGTTAGTGATAACGAAGAGGTTACTCCACGATCACCACCATTGCTCACTACTCAAAGCCCATCCCAGGAGATACGGGTAAAGATGGACACAAAGTAGATGGAAAACGCAGTGGCCAAGTGCTCAAGCCGTTAATCTCGCGTTCTGCAGGTAGTGGGTTCGTTTCCCGGCTGCGACATTCATTCCACGAGTGCAGTTTTTACGGAGATCCCTAGGAATCTTCACCAGAGCAACGAAATTCGTGCTTTGTTCGATGCTTTCGGCAGGTGTCTAGCCGTTCGGCGGAAAGAGACGGAGCCATATCTGATAAAACTTGGTGCAATAAATCCTCTCAACTTTGACATTTTAACCTTTAACATAGTGTAGATAATGCAGTAGATAACAGGTTTGCGTGCAGGTCCCATAGATATACGTTCGAAACCTTCTCCTATGTGGCTTTTAGTATCCTATTTTTTCTGGGAAACGGTGGGAGTGGGGGGAGGGGGGGGGGGAAGACCAACTTCCCCCAAAAAGCATTCTGTACAAGGCTACTAATACTGGGTTTTTCATCTGAAGTCAAAGTGCGTCTGCCTGACAGGCAAAGAACCATCTCCCTGACAGGCGAAGAACCATCTGCCTGACAGGCGAAGAACCATCTGCCTGACAGGTGAAGAACCGTCTGTCTGACAGGCGAAGAACCATCTCCCTGACAGGTGAAGAACCGTCTGTCTGACAGGCGAAGAACCATCTCCCTGACAGGCGAAGAACCATCAGCCTGACAGGCGAAGAACCATCAGCCTGACAGGCGAAGAACCATCTGCCTGACAGGTGAAGAACCGTCTGTCTGACAGGCGAAGAACCATCAGCCTGACAGGCGAAGAACCATCAGCCTGACAGGCGAAGAACCATCTGCCTGACAGGTGAAGAACCGTCTGTCTGACAGGCGAAGAACCATCAGCCTGACAGGTGAAGAACCATCTCCCTGACAGGCGAAGAACCATCTGCCTGACAGGCGAAGAACCATCTGCCTGACAGGTGAAGAACCGTCTGTCTGACAGGCGAAGAACCATCTCCCTGACAGGCGAAGAACCATCAGCCTGACAGGCGAAGAACCATCTGCCTGACAGATGAAGAACCGTCTGTCTGACAGGTGAAGAACCGTCTGTCTGACAGGCGAAGAACCATCAGCCTGACAGGTGAAGAACCGTCTGGCTGACAGGCGAAGTACCATCTGCCTGACAGGCGAAGAACCATCTGCCTGACAGGTAAAGAACCGTCTGTCTGACAGGCGAAGAACCTTCAGCCTGACATGTGAAGAACCATCAGCCTGACAGGTGA